ATGCGTTTTGTTGATTGCAGAGCCTTAGGATGTCCCCTCCCTCCTGCCGGAATGCTGCAGAGAAGGACCATTAGAGCAATGCAGAAGCAGTGGCCTCTCTGCAGAGGTCCGAACACCCCCCCTGAGTCAGAGCTGGATCTCTCCAATCAGGAAAACTCAAGGTCCTTCCTGGAAAGGGTCGAGGAATAAGCTATATAATATCTGCCTTCTTCCTTCTCTTGCTGTGGGCGGGGCCTCGTTCTCCTCACGTACAGTGCAGTAGTATTGCTCCTGCATTGTATCTGATGACGTCCGAGCATGGCCACCAGCCAAAGTCCCTCCATGCTGTGGGCGGGGCCTCGTTCTCCTCACGTACAGTGCAGGAGTATTGCTCCTGCATTGTATCTGATGACGTCAGAGCATGGCCACCAGCCAAAGACCCTCCATGCTGTGGGCGGGGCCTCGCCATTCTTACGTACAGTGCAGGACTATTGCTCCTGCATTCAATGTGACGACATCATAACGTGAACACCGGCTGGAGCTCCAATGAGAAGAAGCTCCGGGGGACCGGGGACACACAGAGGAGGAATAAGATAACAGTTTATTCCTCTACCCCTTAATTTAACCCTTGCAGTGCAGTGCAGGGAAGGGGGGGGATCACGGATCAGCGCCCGGCGCAGATAAAAACAACGTTTGTAACGGTTCGTATTTACGGTACGCCGCGCACCTCCGGGACACTGCAATGAATGATGGGGATTTATAATGCATGAGCCCCCCGCTGCTTTCATTATTCCTGCGACAAGAACAGGGATCCGGTATCAGCAGGAACACAGGAGGATTCTATTCTCAGGGATATTTAAGAACCCGTCGGATAGAAATGACACTTTCTACCGATCCATTCTCAATGGTATCGCATGTCAGTGGCGGGTCGTTGTGTGTACTGAGCCAATGACATTTTCGTCATTTTGAAAGTCATTTAAAATATTTCGGTAACTCCCTGCCACTGGTATCGGCACTGGTATCGGCGCATCCCTCGTTGTCACCCTCTCGCAGGAAGTGCCTGAACATGGGGCCACCGGGGACTATTATAATGAAAGCTGTTTAATATGATGATAATTCGTTGTGAAAATGACGTCACCGTGTCGGGTTCCCGCGGTCGGCGTGGAATCCACGCGGGGCTTAGTTACCATGTGCCGGAGGGTTGTAGTTCCCCGTACATCCCGGGGGTCGGGGGGTCACGCCTCATTGCGCACACACATGTTATACGGTTGTCGCTAATGATGAATAGACGTCAGTCCCAGAACAATGCAGAGGAACCGGTATTACAAGCCGGAGCGTTCCCCAGAACTATCAGTGTGATTGGTGTGTGCAGAACAACCAAGAATTCCGTCTGTGCCGAGAACATGCGCAGCGCTTCACCTCCCATCGTACAAAACGCAGGATCCACTTCTAGAAAAGCTCCGCCTCTCATCACTAGGAGGGCGTCCCGGAGCTCCAGCCAGCGACTTTGCCTAGGCTGGGATGTCATTAGTCTGCTGCAGGCAGGAGGAAGCATTTCCTCAGTCTCCCCTCCGCCAGTGATCAGTCTGCTGCAGGCAGGAGGAAGCATTTCCTCAGTCTCCCCTCCCCCAGTGATCAGTCTGCTGCCAGCAGGAGGAAGCATTTCCTCAGTCTCCCCTCCCCCAGTGATCAGTCTGCTGCAGGAAGGAGGAAGCATTTCCTCAGTCTACCCTCCCCCAGTGATCAGTCTGCTGCAGGCAGGAGGAAGCATTTCCTCAGTCTCCCCTCCCCCAGTGATCAGTCTGCTGCAGGCAGGAGGAAGCGTCTCCCCTCCCCCAGTGATCAGTCTGCTGCAGGCAGGAGGAAGCATTTCCTCAGTCTCCCCTCCCCCAGTGCAGGATGTGTGCCATTTTATGTAACGCACTGATACAGTAGCAGGTAAAGCACCGCCCACCATGAAGTGCTCGCACAACACGCATGCCATGCATTGTAGTGTGCTGCATCGAAAAATGAGCCAGGTCTGCTATTGGCTGTGTTCTGGTGCATGGGCAATGCGGCACTGAGGTGTAAATGGGCCCTAAGTGTAACTGCAGCAGAGAAAAATCAGGACTCCTACCCTACAAGACAGGGCTGTGGTTTGTGGCAGAGCTGTGCAAACCTCAGGACTGGATGGGCAGGAATACAAAGCCTCTGGCAGGTCAGACGTTACACGGTTCGGGTTTCCTCTGTTTATTTATCTGTTTGTCTGGAGTTCTGCTTTAATAAAACATTCTGAA